AATATATGATTTTCATATATTTATTCTATCTCATTTATCACTTTCACGGGTTCATTACGAATCAACTTAACGGCCTGCTCTCAGTTGGCTTGTTAGCTCAATTGGTTAGAGCGCTGCACTAGTATCGCAGAGGTCAGTGGTTCGAGTCCCGTACAGGCCTGATTTTTTTCAGGTCTGAATTTCGCTATTGCTTAAATAGCGCTATCTACTGCGAGGATCGTGCATCATACGTATCAAATACCGCAGTTCAATATATGATTTTCATATATTTATTCTATCTCATTTATCACTTTCACGGGTTCATTACGAATCAACTTAACGGCCTGCTCTCAGTTGGCTTGTTAGCTCAATTGGTTAGAGCGCTGCACTAGTATCGCAGAGGTCAGTGGTTCGAGTCCCGTACAGGCCTGATTTTTTTCAGGTCTGAATTTCGCTATTGCTTAAATAGCGCTATCTACTGCGAGGATCGTGCATCATACGTATCAAATACCGCAGTTCAATATATGATTTTCATATATTTATTCTATCTCATTTATCACTTTCACGGGTTCATTACGAATCAACTTAACGGCCTGCTCTCAGTTGGCTTGTTAGCTCAATTGGTTAGAGCGCTGCACTAGTATCGCAGAGGTCAGTGGTTCGAGTCCCGTACAGGCCTGATTTTTTTCAGGTCTGAATTTCGCTATTGCTCAAATAGCGCTATCTACTGCGAGGATCGTCCATCATACGTATCAAATACCGCAGTTCAAAATATATGATTTTCATATATTTATTCTATCTCATTTATCACTTTCACGGGTTCATTACGAATCAACTTAACGGCCTGCTCTCAGTTGGCTTGTTAGCTCAATTGGTTAGAGCGCTGCACTAGTATCGCAGAGGTCAGTGGTTCGAGTCCCGTACAGGCCTGATTTTTTTCAGGTCTGAATTTCGCTATTGCTTAAATAGCGCTATCTACTGCGAGGATCGTGCATCATACGTATCAAATACCGCAGTTCAATATATGATTTTCATATATTTATTCTATCTCATTTATCACTTTCACGGGTTCATTACGAATCAACTTAACGGCCTGCTCTCAGTTGGCTTGTTAGCTCAATTGGTTAGAGCGCTGCACTAGTATCGCAGAGGTCAGTGGTTCGAGTCCCGTACAGGCCTGATTTTTTTCAGGTCTGAATTTCGCTATTGCTCAAATAGCGCTATCTACTGCGAGGATCGTCCATCATACGTATCAAATACCGCAGTTCAAAATATATGATTTTCATATATTTATTCTATCTCATTTATCACTTTCACGGGTTCATTACGAATCAACTTAACGGCCTGCTCTCAGTTGGCTTGTTAGCTCAATTGGTTAGAGCGCTGCACTAGTATCGCAGAGGTCAGTGGTTCGAGTCCCGTACAGGCCTGATTTTTTTCAGGTCTGAATTTCGCTATTGCTCAAATAGCGCTATCTACTGCGAGGATCGTCCATCATACGTATCAAATACCGCAGTTCAAAATATATGATTTTCATATATTTATTCTATCTCATTTATCACTTTCACGGGTTCATTACGAATCAACTTAACGGCCTGCTCTCAGTTGGCTTGTTAGCTCAATTGGTTAGAGCGCTGCACTAGTATCGCAGAGGTCAGTGGTTCGAGTCCCGTACAGGCCTGATTTTTTTCAGGTCTGAATTTCGCTATTGCTTAAATAGCGCTATCTACTGCGAGGATCGTGCATCATACGTATCAAATACCGCAGTTCAATATATGATTTTCATATATTTATTCTATCTCATTTATCACTTTCACGGGTTCATTACGAATCAACTTAACGGCCTGCTCTCAGTTGGCTTGTTAGCTCAATTGGTTAGAGCGCTGCACTAGTATCGCAGAGGTCAGTGGTTCGAGTCCCGTACAGGCCTGATTTTTTTCAGGTCTGAATTTCGCTATTGCTTAAATAGCGCTATCTACTGCGAGGATCGTGCATCATACGTACATGCTGCGTATTAGATTGCTAGATACTTGGCTCATTTAGAATATGCTCTTCTTGAGAGGCTGTGAGAAGTGGTTGAGGTACACTTTCAGCTACAGGAATCGAAGAGGTTGCCGTAATGGTTGTTATGGTCTTCTTGTTGTTCAACAATTCTGATAATGTCTACACACAAGAGCGACTTCAAGAGCGTGGTTACTTCTGCGCATGAGCAGAATATTATTCGTAGCAGAAACGGAGTTAGACCGTAGTACGCATGAGCAGACCATTATTTGTAGGCAGTTATTTGCAGGTCACGTGGGGGGCTCCCAGCCAATGAAAATGGTGAAAAAAATCCATCCAATGATTAATATGCGTTACTAACCAAGCTGAGGTCAAGATGGCTGGATGTTGATTGATTTTTTTTCGCATTTTTATGGTCCCAGATGGGTTCGAGGTCCATAAAAATGCAAAAAAAGAACAAGGCTAATATCCAGCCATCTTGACTGAACAAGCTGTGTTTGTAGCACAATAAATTCACGAGAATCGTTTCTGTTTTCTTCGTTTTGACTATCTTCTGCCGCTTTTTGCGTTTCGATCGCCGTCATTGTCCAAGAATTACGACTTACCTAGTTCTGATTCAATTTTTTTCATACGCGGGATCAATGCGGGTAATCCCGAGCAGGCAAGAAGGGCCCATCTTTCCCGCTCGGGTAGCTTGCCCACTCGGGTAGCCAATCAGAACACATGATTCGCTTCATCTGGCCCACGGGTGCTGCGAACGATGTAATAAAGGATGATAAATAGCAAGCGAGGAGAACCCCTTTTTACAGGCAGGGTACACACATCAGCCAACCTCGTTCCCAGAGCCTTTTCCCTTAGTTAGGGGTGGAGCTGGGGGTGGGGCGGTAACCCTAACCCTAACCCTTTTCCCGCCCCACCCCCAGCTAAGGGAAAAGGCCCTGGGAGCGAGTTTGACACATCAGCGATAATATTTGATGGACATTAACCTTAGTCTGAGATAGTTTACTAGGGAGGTGACCTGCTAAATTATGCTTTGTCTCGTGAGGTAAATGACTTTTACGCTCCCAGTTATTGTTTTGTCAATGTTTTACCTTAAATTACTCGCCTCTTACTTTTCAACAGGAAAAATAGAGAAATGCGACCGAAAAATTGACCTGGCAGTCGTGTTGGACGTTTCAGGGAGTATAAATGAGGAAACTTTAAACCTTACCAAAAACTTCACCAAAACACTTCTAAGACGATTCAGAATATCCAGAGACAGTGTTCGTGTATCACTTTTGACCTACTCGGAGTCGGTTAAGGTTTATTCCACGTTTGAAGACGATCGGGAGGAAAAAAGGCTCGAGCAAGAAGTGAACAATGTGTTCTTTGAAGGATCTTCCACAAAGACAACGAAAGCTCTAAGTGTATTAAAGAATCAACTCTTTGTGCAAAATAAAGGATCGAGAATCGAGGAGTCTAGTAAGTCTTACCTTGTAAAATGTTTCAGTTTACTTGTCTTGTCGTAGGACACGACAAAGCAGTTTTGTTTTTATTTCAAATAAGTTTACACTGGAAAGACCTTCAGCATTTCGCATGCATTTGATTAATTTGATATTCTCGTTGCCTTCCTGATAAATAACTGTAATTGATGAAAAGTTTCCAGGAAAAGGTTAAATTGCTGGGAAAGGAGATCAAATCTGTAACCGTGACCAAAGACCTGGGTGTGATTATTGACTCCTCACTAAGTTTTAATGAGCATCGATTAAAACAGTCTCCGATTGTATGCATAGGCTAATTAGGAGCAACAGAATTACGCACCTTCTTGATAGAAAGACGCTTCTTTCACTAAATAACGCTTTTGTTTTCAGTAAATTATTTTACTTTTCCTCTGTATGGAGCAATACATCTAAAACAAATGTGGAAAGACTACAGTCGGTTCAGAACTTTGCAGGCAGGACAGTCCTCAGCCTCAGAAAGTACGATCGCATTTCTGAAGGCTTGAAGTCGCTGAAATGGCTTCCTATTGCCGATAAACTCTTTTTAAATAATTCTGTTATGGTTCACAAGTGCTTAAATGGACTGGCGCCCGACTATCTCAGTCAAAAATTTACAAGGAGACAAGAACTACATAATAGAAACACACGAAATAAAAAAGATGTGAACCTACCAAGATGCCGGTTAAAAACTGGGCAGCGATCGTTCGCCTACAGAGGCGCTGCATGTTGGAACAGTCTCCCCAAAGGCCTTAAGGTGGTAGCGGACGGTAAAATCTTCAAGAAGAGACTTGTCAATATGCTTTTAGCCTGATTTTGATTTGTCTCTATGTTATTTTAATTAGTTAATGATTTAGTTCTATTCTCCAAGGGAGCTTCAATAAAATGTATGTATGTATGTATGTATGTATGATAGTTGCTACAGAATCTCATGATTTTTTATTTCGTGCGTTTCAGTGTGAATACGCTCTCTCTTAAACGAATATGCAAATTCACTGCGCTTGCGCCAAAACCGATGCCCACTGCGCATAAACTGTATGAATGAATAAAAAGAAAAGTGGAAGTGAATAGTAACACTTCTGCTCTTGACTAAAAATTAAATGATGCGAAAATTTTGCTGTTTCAAGTAGAGTAAGCTTATAAATCTAGCGTTTAGAAACTTTTCACGATTTCACGTTTCTTTGGTTAAAAAAATTGGAAAGATATTCTATAAACAAATATCAAATCTTCTTCTGAGCCATGGTTTATTGGGAAAAATGCTTTTTACTGATCCATAGTACCCTTCAAATTCCTAAAGGCTTTACTTAAATTCAGTGATTTCCAGTTTCTTTTGGTTTCACCTCGAGAGTGGAAAACTTGCTAGGAAAATAGCTTTTTAACCGTGCTTTGCTTACTGTTTTATCTTTGGTAGATGTAAGGAAAGTTGCTGTTTTCATCACAGATGGCTTCAGTTTCATCGGACCCGAAAATGTAAAAAGAGGAGCAGATCGTCTGAAAATGAGAGGAGTCGAAGAGTTTGCGATCGGAATTACCCAAAGAACAGGGAACGAAGAGTTGACAAACTTATCCAGCAAACCTATTGAAAACCACTTTTTTAGGCTAACTAACGAAAAATCTCTCAAAGGTATAATTGATCATATTATTAAAAGCATTTGCACATAAATTAAATCAGCTATGTGGCAGATTTTTCCACAATCTGAATCATTATGAAAAGCGCATGCATGGTGGCTGCTATCGCAAATCATGGTTGGAATAAAAATGTTCCGTTTCGGGCACGCTGATTGTAAGAGTGATATATTTCTCAAGATCACCCTAAATCTTCCATGCTATAGAAAGTATTGTTGTTCATCGCGTGAACCTTTAATTGTTTATCTCACGATGTATGAGTCAAGCTAATCAATCGTGTATTGATCGCGACGTTTCGACTGTTATACTGCTAGTTATCGTCAGGTGACAAGGTCGCCATTTTAACTCACTGTAAGATAATCATGATCAGAGCCATCTTAAAGTAGAGGTATCCCCCAAAATTTTAAAGAGTAAGACTTCATTTTTCAATGGCAAACTTGCTAACGTCAAGTTGTGGTAAGGGTCACAAAAGTTTCTGTGATTAAGCGCTTTAGAATTTCTGTCCCACTTAACAAGTCCAAAACAACACATGGTCAGATCTATGAGAGGTGAAAATTTCTGTATTGCCGCTATGCCTTTTTACAAATCCTAACCTACTCCTCTGGGTTCATCGCGCAGAATGTTGTGACACTTCCGGGTACTTTTGAAGTCCACCAGAGGTAAATTTGACAGATCCTCCGAGAAAGAGCGAATCAACGGAGCTCTTTGGGAGTGGCGACGACTAAAAAAATGTGACGAGGTGTTTGTTGCACCCACAGTTCAATTCGATTTGAAGAAAATCAGTCATATATTGTCCTTGTGTTGCGGTGCTCGGGTAGGAATAGCTGTTCACAGCTGAGCGGAAAATACTGTAAAGAAAGTGAACCAACGCTTGAATGGCAACATTCTCCGAACCGTGAGATCTAAGTATTGGATTTACCTCTCCCTACATCCAGACGAAATCCTCCAAGAAACAGATGGGGTAATCGAGGAGCTATGAAAAAGAGGAGAAGAACTGGTTACTTAAAACCAAAGACTAAAGGCCGAGACTGAAGGTAACAATATTTTTATTCCATCTAGTTTTGAAACTGAAATACATTTGCCATTAACTCGAAATACACGATAGGCCTACACTTTAAACCTGATCAAACGACTAAGTTAAAAACGGTTGTGTAAGTGATAAACTAAGTTCCGAACACAATCGATCATTGTATGTCATCTAAATACCGCCCGGACAAAGTCGGTTCCGAATGACTCAAATTATTTTAACTTTCGATTCCTTTGATTGCTGAGAAAAGGATCTCCAAACAGCGAAAAGAAATGAGTAGTATAGTGAATGCAGGGCT